GACAGCTGTATTAAACATAAGAAGCATTCCAAGTTCCATGGTTTTATAATAGGTTTAGTATGTCAGCTAAAATATCACCAAAAAACCACTGCAACATTGGGGGTAGGGGGCTGGGGTGACCTTTTGGTTATAAACACCATTATAAACACAGATAAACACTTGTCTGGAATAAATCTCACGGAATACAACTGAACTTATTCACAAGTAAATACAGTAGTAGATGCTATTGCTTATATGTATATGTGTACTATTTATACAATTTTCATCACACTTTGCAGACTAACAGGGGCAAGTGTGCAAGAGAGGAACTTGCCCCAAAGACACTCTGCTTGCTCTGACACGGGGAGGTAGAACAAGAGAAACATGTGGTCAATATTTGCACTGATTTTGGTTGGTTTAAGTACTAAGAAAAGTGACTTTTCTGGAGGAATTTGAAGAAAGAGAATGGGCCCACCTAACTATCCCAAGAAAGTGTTTTGGAGCAGCAAGAGGATCAAGGCAAACAGTTTTAAGAAGTTTAACCTGCACCAAGGCACCATTTAAAATTGAAACAAAAACTCTACAAGATTTCATATCGTAGCCATAAATGGCATAATACTAAATACTCTGCATTAACTTTCACTAAGATGCCCGTATATTTGTGTAAGGCTATAAACTGAAAAGCAAAAGTTTTCAAAACCTCATCATTCAAAAGAAAAACATTTAGCAAATAACCCTCATAAATAATGCCAAATATATAGCTCTTTTTCACTGGTGATATGCATGTCCAACTCTTTTGCTTGTTCTCTTCTTTTAAAATTGTAAAAGTTATTTGTACAATTTTATCTACTTAGCTAGATCATGTAGCTTTCAGTGAAAGAGATGAGCAGAATCCATAAAGCACTCATTTCATTTCAAAATTGAAAAGCACTTTGACAGCACTAGCTGCAAAACATTTCACAAGATGCATAGCTAGGTATTTGCTGGAAGTATTTTTATAGTCTCAATAATTTGATGGCCTGAGTGGAAGAAATGGTGCATAACCCCAGAGATGCCTTTCTGAAATTTCTGCTTAAGGAAAATATTAATATTCAGAGAAAGACTGTTATTAAACCACCCAATCTCAACACAACGACTCAGACATGAAGAGCATTACACACTACAGCTCTCCAAGAGGACTGTACCACCTCTGAGGATTGCTTGAACGCTTTTCCACATTACATTTCCATGGCATGTGCAGAGCAGCCATGACAGGAAGTGCATTCTTCCACAAATATTAAGGCAAGCTTTGTAAAGTAGGGTAGTTAAGCTATGTTTGTGAGACCCCTTGTACGTACATCTAAGCACACAAACCTACACACACACATTTGCAAACAGTATACAGTGCAGCCACACCAAGCAAGGAACCAAGATTGACTGGAGATCCCTGACAGTGGCAGACTTCAGAGTAATCCCAGACATGCGGTGGTGTGATGTGAAATGATCCCAGCCCACAAAGAGTTACAGAAGCAGAGAATGAACACAACGGCCAATAAGCGAACATGTAAAACTGTCAAAGTCTTCCATCTGAGGAGTGCAGCATGTTTTACTCCTTAACCACATAACTGAAGGAACCACCTCACTAGCATCTTCCCCTGAAGCTACCATTTTGCACCTGGCTCCAGTGGATGGACCTCTCCAGGTTCTAATTAAAAATATATAAACTATACAAGCTTCCCTGTTCCAGTGAACCCATTTCCCGTTCCCTCACCATACAACTGGAAGAGTCTCCTAAACCACCTCTCTATCCCCATTCCCCTACCTTTCTGTACAACAAAAAACTTGGTTTTCTAGCATTGCTCCCATTCTCAAGAGCACTGGATATATACCGATCTTGCCTGATTAGAATCACGGGGATGGAAGTGGTGATTCAGGTCACCAAGCCCATGCCCCTGCTCACTGGAGGAAGCAGTTTAAATCACCTCCTGCTTGATTACCTCCAGCAAAAGAAAGCACACTGCTTTCCTGGGCAGCGATTCCATGGAATGGTCGCTGGGATATTCTCCCAGATGTTTCAGTGGAAGCTGCCATTTTAGGACCTTGGCCATTATTTTGTGTCCAACAGACCTAGACTGGTTGCCGCACTCTTCAAGTATCTAAGGGGTTGCAGCTCAGAAGAGTGTGGCAACCATCTAAATTGCTCTTATGCCCCCTCAGTCTTCTCAGCTCAAGGCAAAAGATAACGAGTTCGTTCAATCTCTCCCCATAGCAGGATCACTGTGTGTGGTGGTTCAAGTTGGCTGAAATGTTAGAGGTGCACCATGTTTCTAAACGTATCCTTTATGATGCATCCTTTCAATGCACCAAGTCCATAACATGGAGAATGGTTGCAGTTCTCCAATATATTCCACATGCATGATTCTCCAACTACCATGTAGCTGTGAATTTCAAAGGCAAAATTACATTGTAGAAAAACACCATCTTTCATGCAACTTAAATGGTGCTGCCCATTCTACAGGATACTGCATGAGCAAGAGCAAGACAGCCTTCGTGGTTCGCAGCGGACATGGCCTCTCTGATGTGACTCACAACCTGTATAGCTGGTCTTTTCCTTACGGCAAGGTATTTTCCTGCACTTTGGATGGAAATTCAAACTGTAAATAATAGGACGTCCTTCTTAGAAAAGTATATACCATATGCTCCAAGACTGGGGCCCTATTCTGTTTTCCACAGAATGAGGTTGCTTATTTCCCAAACCAAACTCCAGTGTATCCATGAAGCATTATCTTATTTGGTTTGACCACAGATATGGGCCCCCAAAGGGACATGAAGCCCCTCTGACAACCGTATTTGCCTGCAGCAACTGCCTGCTACTGCATTTCAGTGTTTTCAATGCAGAAGTAAAAAATACAGTGGGAAGAAGGGAAATCAACACAAATATCTTCAGGAAAATCAGATATCCCCTCCCCATAATTCCGGAAGCATTCATTTCCAAATCCACTCCCAAAGTATTCCTCTGGGCTACCCCACAGAGGCCCAGGAAGTAAACACTGAAAAGCCTGTTATACAATCATGAGCCAAAAGAAAAGGTTACAAGATTTCAGAAGGGGCTGCTACAATTGTTTGGAGAAAAAGAAGTGTATACTTTGTTACCTTAAGCAAGGACAACAAAGGGCAGACACCTTTCCATAGGTGCCCATACATTGTCCCAAGGCTATATCAGCAATGTATAGAGGGAGGGGGATTCCCCTGCAAATTTGGGGGGACCGTGGACCCAGGCAAGTTTTATCCTAGCCAGAACAGCAAGACAGCTTTAAGGCAACCTTCCCACAGTGTGCATGCTTTCATGACTGGTTATGCCAGCTGGGACTGATGGGAGCTGTAGTCCAAAACATCTGAAGGGCACCAAGTTGGAAAAGCGAGCTTTAAAGGATTGCATCAGGGAGAGCACACCAGCCCCAGTTGCAGGCAAACTGCAATTATGGTCAACATCTCAGTCCTTGCTTATACTGTCAGAAAACAGCTGTGCGGGAGAGAGATATCAGTCACTTGAGTGCTTTTATAGCATCCTGCATCTCTCCCCTTACTATGAAGGCACAAATTCAGCCTCTGCATATGGGCAACTTTTCTAGGAAAGTGGACAGGATGGTCATTACTGTGCAAAATATGTTCTACACCAGGAGAATTGCAGCAGAAGGAATCGCTTTTCCGATTAAATAAACCTCCCGAGGAGCTTCAGTTAAACAATCAACTAATCCATAAGTTAGACTACTCGACTTTCAGCTAGAAAAAGGTGGAAGGGAGCTAACAGACAGGACGTGCTTCTAAGAGCAAAACTCCATTCCTACTAATACGCATGTGGAGTCCATGATTTCTTGTTTAGCTTTTTTTTTTTTCCCCTCTCTCCTTTCCTCCCCTCCCTCTCTCTCGGGCCTGGAGTAGCTGGAAAGCCTGGGGCTGGATTTCAAGGCGTTGCAGTAACCACAGCTCTCGGAGAGAGGAGAAGAAACTTGCACGATGCGGAGAGGGAATGAAAGGAGAATGACGGTCCATCTCGCCGTCGCTGCACGTTTCCAAAAGCACAAATCTTTCACCCGTGTAACTCCGTGTCGCGCAACAACACGGAACAATCGAACAACTCCGCGCAACAATTGGAAGACGGAGCTGCGTTTCTCTCCTCCTTCCCCGCGCGCGTTAGAAGGGGAACCGAACCAACCGAGCTGCGCTGGTAACCTTGTGTGGAGCCGAGAGGGCTACATAGCCGCTGCCTCCCACCCACCCCCGATCCCCGTCGGAAAGCTGCAGGGCTGGAGGCGCGCTCGGAGAGGGGCGCGCTCGGGAAGTTGCAGCTCGAGCTGCCCAAAACAGCCACAACAAAGAGTTCAGGCCCCTAAAAGCCACGCGCGACTCTTGGGCACTGTGCCGCGGGCTCCCAAAAGAGCTCGCAGCTGGCCCCAGCCAGGAGGCACAAAAGAGAGAAGGAGCCATGTTCATGTTCAGCGCCCCCAAGTCGGGGGACGCCGGGCTTGCTTGCGCCCGGGCGCGCGCACTCCCTCCCCCCTCCTCCTCGCCCCCAAACCAGCCACCGGGAATGCCGCAGGAGCTTCGGCGGCACTTGAAAGTTTACCGGAGGGGCGGAAGGGGGGGGGGGAGACCTAAACTAAAGGCGAGGAGAGGCTATCGCTGATCCCTTCCATGCTTTCGCTGGGATCTTCCTCTGGGCACCCCCACGGCGCTGCCAAGCCTTGGCGAGTGGGGTGGGGTGCGGGGGTCCCCGCCAAGCGCCCACTCCTCTGGCTTCGCAGCAGTTCCAGCCTCCACTTTTCCTCTTTTTGGCCTCCCTCCCTCCCCAGGAAGCGCCATATTGATCCCGGGCGCCCTCTCTCTCCTCCTCCTTGCTCCAGCTGCTGCTGCTGCTCCGCCGCCTCGACCCTTCGCTCGCTCCCTGCTCCCAGCTCCCCCCCCCCCCCCGCCGCCGCAGCCGCCTCCGACCCCACCGCAGCCCCCTCATCCCGGCCCCCGCCGCGCCGCGCCGCGCTCACCTTGGCGATCGCCTTCCTGTACCTCGTCGCCGCTTGCTCGATCAGGCTGAAAACTTTCATGTTCCCGTCCCCGCAGGGCACGACCACCCGGGTCCGGCCGAAGCACACGGTGACTTTCATCCTCCCTCCGAGCGCGCCTCAGCCAGCCCCGCTCCGCCGCTGCTCGCCAGCCAGGCAGCCAGGCGGGCTCCCCGCGAGCCGGCCGCCGCCACTCAGAGCCTGCGGGCGGCAGCGTGCAGGGAGAGCGGCGCTCGGCTCGGCTGGGCTCGGCTCGGCTCGCGCGCTCCCCCCGCGGCACCGGCGCCAAGCGGGAGCCCGGCCCGGGAACGGGCGGGCGGGCGCGCGGCTGGCTGGCTGCGCCTGCGGCTACCGAGTCGGCAGGGTCCCGCCGCTGCGCTGGGAGGGCGGCTCGGGCGGCCGCTCACATGCTGCGGGCCGGGAGGAGGAGGAGGCGGGAGGAGGGCGCCGCCGCCAGCGCTCGGCACGCCCGCTCGCTGCTCGCCCGCTCCCTTCCTGGCGCGCCCGCCGCGGCTGTTGCGCCTGCCTCTGGCCACCTGTTCGACGCCGCCTCTTGCGCGCAGCCGGGCGGCGGCTCTCGCGCCTCTCGCCTCCTTCCTCCGTGCTCCTGCGGCAGGGGAAGGGCCGGGCTGCCTCCCCTCCACTGCCGGCCCAAGCCGCTTCTCTCCCGGGGCCGCCGCGGGGCCCCAGCCTCGCCGCGGATCTGCCGCTCGGGATCTCTTGGCGAGCGGGGAGTCCGCCGCGGGTGCCTCTCCGGTTGGTTCCGCTCCTGGCGCTTTGCTGTCCTTCTCCCAAGCAGAAGTAGTGCTGGGGTCTGACAGACCCTTTTGGGTCGATCCAGTGTGGGTCCCACGTGGAGTAGACCCCCTCCGAAATGAATGAAACTTCTTCGGTGAGTCACGACTAACGCCCGTAATATTCAAGGGGGATGCTCAGCCTTGGACCAGCATCGGATGCCGCCCGAAGTGGCTTGTCAGACTGAAATAGTCCCGAACAAAATAAGTCAGCAACCATAAATTAGCTAAGAAGGCGCAGTCCTAAAAAGATTCCTAGAGCAGAGATGGGGAACATGTGGGGTCTCCAGAGGTTGTCTGGACTGCAATTTCCATCATCCTTTCACTATCAGCTATGCTGGCTGGGATAATAGGAATTGCATTCCAACACCACGTGGGGGGTGGCTACCCCTTCGACATCCCCTGCTCATTGCCCCATCAGACTCACTGGACATCGCAGAAGTCATCCGGATTCCTGTTACAAGGCTGTGATCTGTAACACATACAGTGTCATGTTTACTCTTATGCCAGGCATTAGCAGGGGAATAAGGCTGCCATCCTACCTATTACTGTTTATAGTTATATCCACCTTTTTCCTTTAAGGAACTCGTGGTGACTTACATCCTCCTCCTCTCAATCTTGTCCTCACAACAACCCTGTGAGGTTGGGCTGAGAGTAAGTGATTGGCCCAAAACCACCCAGCAAGTTCTGAGTGGGGATTAGAACCCAGATCTTCTAGATGCCAGACCAACACTCTTACCACTGCACTGGCTCTCATACACTTTAATGTGAAAAAACCCATTAAAATAGGTCCTGTTGTGGCCAGTGGGATATATAGTCCCTGGTAGGTAGGTTTAAGTTTTCAGGTTTAAAATGCAGCCCTGTACTTGTCTACTCAGAGGTCCATCCCATTTAATTCAATGGAATTTACTGTTCGGAAATTGTGTGTTGGGAGAGGGTTTCACCCTTCCTCTCCCTGAAGTCAGCTAACCCCTCTAAGTGAACATGCAGCAGATCTGACTGTACAAGGGGGAACATGAATTTGCAGAAGTGCTTAGTGCTTGGTTAAAATGAAGAGTCCAGTGCAAGAGCTCAGCTATCCTGCAGTATAGACTAATGAGAGAAATAGGGTTAAAACTTACCAACATTTAGATTTTAAGGGCTTAATTAACATTCATTCATTCTTTCTTTTAAAAAATGCAATAATATTATATGTGACAATTACATACTTCACATGCAAATGAAATCAACTGAAGGCGCACCTGAATTCAAAAGTAATTCAAAAGCCAAAATGAAGATCCTGGGGTTCTGGTGGAACTCCCCTAACTCAAAGGCCAAAGGAAGGACTTGTAGTTTTATTTGTTTCACATATTCCAAGGTTAAGACCTTGCCATTAAAGCTGCAACCTTATACACAGTTACTTGAGAGTAAGCCTTGTTGAACACAGTGGACTTTTCTTCTGAACATAGCTCATAGGATTGTGCCATGATGTTTCAATTATAATACATAATTGAAACATAATTAACATAATAAAAACATAATATTGGATGCTTTCCTGAGAGTAAGCCCCCCCGCCCCCAGCACAGTGGATGTACTTCTGAGTAAACATTTATTTTCCATACTGCCATTGTTCTCTGAATGAAAACAGGTTCCTGCAGCTAAATCACAGGGAAAGGGAGTCCTACGTCGAATTAAACCTTGCCCATACTGGTGCTAACCATACCTCTTGTGAGGCAGCCATAGAATTGTAGAATCATAAAATATTAGAGCTGGAAGGGGGCAGAGGGCCATTGGATCCAGCCCCTGGCTCTGTGCAGACTCCAAGCCAAACCATCCCTCTCAGATATTGAATGCCTCTAGTATGAAAGAGCCCACAACCTGTCTAGGTCATTGGTTCCTATTAAAGGTTAGTCACAGAATCATAGAATAGAGTTGGAAGGGGCTATGAAGGCCACCAAGTCCAACCTCCTGCTGTTGCAGGACACCACATTACACCATTCCACTCAGATGGCTGTCCAGTTTCTGAGTGGGATGGTGGGAGAGCCCACCACCTCTCTAGGCAGCTGGTTCCACTTTTGTATTGCTCTGACAGTGAGGAAGTCAGTTTTCTTTGTCATGTTTGACGTTTACACTTTCCCTTGGGATGTTGCTTTTCCTTTTGGTCAGGTGATTTAGCCTTCCCCATGCTACACCTGATCTCAATTCTGAGTCAAGGAAGCATTCTAAAACCATGTTACTGCCTAGGGAAAAGGGAGTAAAGTTTTGCATGAAATGCAAGATAAGACCCAAAGTTCCATTGCAAAAGTTTGTTTTCTTTGCAAGTCAAGACACACAAGGGACCTTGAAGGTAGAGCAGCAGCTCATTCAAATCCAGGTGATACCATCTGCAAAATCAAGAGATAAAGAAGCAGCCTGATCCAGCTAACAGATGAATGTGCGTGGGGATGGCAATGGCCGTGCACGTCCTGACTTGCAGCTCAGGCAGCAGAACAGAACGGTGTGTGCATCCACTCAAGCGACGCTCCGGTTAGGTGACTGCACCATTGTGTATCCCAAATAACATTTGTTTGTTCAGTCATTAGCATTTGAATTGGAACTATCTTTTTTCCTTTGAGAGTATGTCTCTGTCTGATGATGGAAAGTGCAGCATCAAGAGCTGGTATCCTTGGACACCTGCCGAGTGCCATCCTGTGCACACCCCAGCAGGGACTTGCTGCGAAGAACCCCTTGGAGGTGTTCTCCCTGCCTGCGACCCCTGAGAATAACCAATAACCCCTTGGAGGTGCTGCAACCTCTGAGAATAACCAATGCACAGTGGGAACTAAGGAATTAAAATCCAAAAGAAGAATTACTCTCAGTGGGAAGAATATATTTCGGTTGTGAAATTTGTTACACAAGAATTAGTTCCATGGATTTCTGTGGAAAGCTTAAAGTGCAACTTAAACCTGCTGTTTTTAGTAGATCACGCAGGAAGTCATCTCGCAAGGCTATGAAACTGGTCAAGTGATGTTGACACCTGGAGAACCGCATTCCTCATTCCTACAATGGAATATGCCCATTGGTTATGCATTGTGAAGTGAAGTGAGTCAGTAAGAAAGGAGGGACAAGTTACCAGTGTGTCTGTTGCTCTATACAAGATAAAGGATGGACAGAGCCCAAACTTGGAGGATGATGGGCAGCCTTCAGAAAGTGGAAGAATTACAAAGCTGAAGGTTGCCTTCACACTTCTACCAGGCAAAAGATGGTCATTTGCAGCCATCTCAGTCTTTTGCACCTACTTACAAGAAGAGGCTGAGGCACCACAAAGATATACCATATCCCAATGCAACCTCTTCCTGTCCCTGGAAAACCTTCCCCATGCCTGGCTGCAAAGTCGGTCTTCTGTACTCAGAACCACAGCTAGCAGTGCATTTCTGAAGCTGGACCTGGGTCTTGGACCTCTTTGGTGCCTATCCAGACAATGTCTAGCAGCCATAAAGCTCTGCCCAACCCACTTTTTTAAAGGGGTAGTGGAAACAACCATACAGTGTGCTTTTAGGAGACAAAAACCATATTATTTATTCTAAATGAAATATATTCTGGTGAGAACATGTTTGTGAATATATGATAAATATATTCTTGCACACTTTTATAATGTAATTCATAGGCTGGGCTGCATCTGGGGAACTCACTAATTTCCTGATTAATCAAACTGGTATGCGCCAGCCCTGCAAATAATGAAGGTATTAACTAGATGGATATACTATTGAGACAGGAATCCTACCTTTTTAAAAAAAATCTGAATTCTAAGGGACTTTCTGCTGTATTTACATCTATGAGGATTGTAACCATAAAGGTTGTCTTTGTTCCTCTTAACCCTTATATAATATGCTCAGTCCTTTAACCTATTCCATAACAAAGTCACTGACTTTGGGGAAACTGATGTGACTGAGTCAGAATCCTGTGGTTTACAATGTAAGTTAAAGAGACAAGTTCTGCCCCATAGAGTTTATGGTTGAACATCTTTATGACTATCTTCAGTTCATGGATTTTATCCTGCTCTTTCTTCAAGGAATATAAGGTAGCAAGAACTGAGTACTAACACCACAAGGCCCTCCAGATGTTGGATTCCAACTCCCATCAGCCCCAGTCAGCAGCACCAACATCTGGACAGCTGCAGGTGTTCTCCACCCCCAACACAGAAGATTCCCCACTCTTTCTTTTATCAGCAGCAACATTCTGAGGTTGGTTAGGGCAAAAGAAAGTGGCTGGTTCAAGGCACCCAGAGCACTGTCTGAATGGGAATCTGAACCTGCGTCTTTCTTGACCAAGGAGGACGGCAGCTTGCCGGAGGACAGCTCTGAACAACCGCCACTGCTCACTCTTGTACAGTGTTAGAGTTGCAAGGGAGGAATGCAGGGAAGGAAGGTTGCATGGGAAAAGTTTCATGGTAAACAGTTTGGGAATTCCTGCGTTT